ACAGATAACGATATGCATCTTCAACTGTTCCTGCTCCAAAATATAGGTCGTCGACATAGACAGAAAATTCAACATTTGGAAACTGTCCGGCATTTTATCTTTAATTTCCGAATGTGATATTTTATAGTGGCGGCCAAAATGAAAGGAGATACACTCAACGAAAGCTACGCGACACATTTGCATAATCTTAAAGGAGTTCTTTTTCATAAACCAAAGAAATTTTAGAAATTGTCTATCATCGTCAGCAATTCCTATCATCAAAAAGGCTTTTTTCAACATCTCCACAAAACCTATCTTAAACTTGCGAAAATTTAACATAATGTCTAGTATATTTGGATTTAGATTAGGTCCCGATTCAGGCAGTCATTTAACGAATTCGGTCTCTGTCCTTGAGCAAGCATTGTACACAATTCTTACCTTAGTAGTTTCACTAGGTCATATCACTGCTCGGTGGGATAAAAATCCCAAATTTGTATCATTATCAGACATCCTCCACAATTCCTTCTAATATCTGGTTCTCAATTATATTTTTATATTCCTGAAATATCTCCAGAGTTTTACTTAGTTTATTGTGGAGGTTTGTGAATCATTTCTTAGCTACCTTAAAATTATTTCCCAGATTATTCGGACTGTTATTTCCAGATTAAATCTGCCTCATATCTTTCGTTTTTAAACTGTAAATTCCTTTCAAACTGGTCTATTATTTCGAAGTCAATATCGGAATAAACATCAGAATCATTAATTCTCATATATTCTAATTCCCCCAAACCCCTTAATTCTTTCAACACAATAGTGTTTGTCATTACCACTAAATTTTCAGAACAATTTTTTTTCGTTTTATTTTTCTCAATTCCTACAGCAACCCAACCAAACACAGAACTGACTGTATACAATCCTTCAGATATTTTAATTCTTTCGGAATAAACTACATTCCAGATTTCATCTCCGCCAATTAATATCTGAACATCAGTGTTATTTTTTATAGAGCAATCGGCGATCTGGAACCCCAGATGCTCCATGAAGTCTGCAATTTGTTTACTAGGCACATTGATGGGCGCCAAGGAAATAACATCCGAGATCAAACATTAAATTTTTATTTTATTATTTTGTTTCCAATCTGAATTTCGCTTTCAACGACCAGATAGGAAGTTAAATAGTCGGCCAATTTTTCGTGTAAAGGATCTGTGACTGCCTTGATCAAGAATTAATCTAGTTAATTTTGATTTATACTTAGACAAGCTAAACTGTACAAGTTTTGTATAATATTTTCCTGGCATTAAGTCATTATTATTATCACCTTGAGGAACAAAGCAATCATTTTAAGTTTGAACTTTATTTCTTCCCTCAGAATTCAAAGTCGGAGATTCATTTTCATTTTCGGAATAACCTTTCTCCGACTTTTTGTTTACAAGGGATTTATTAGTACAAATCGATTCATTGTGATACATACCGCCACATTTATTACATTCAGTTTTATTTTTACACTTTTTTGATGTATGAAATTTTTTTAAAACAAGAATAGCAGCGGTTTTCGGATCTTTCTTTAATTTATCAGAAACATTCACTTCGCACTTAAATGACTCGTGCAAATTATCACAAAAGATGTGTTTTCGGTTAACTGCAGTATGAAATGCAGCCGTGGATGTATTTTTTATATATTTTTTAGTTTCAATTTTGATTGATCGACTCGCGGAGGCACAGGATTTTTCCTTTCATTTAATTCTAGATTTGAAATGTCCCTGCATTCGATTTCCGTTTTAATAAATTGTGTTAATTCCGAAACTTCAACTTTATCTTTCGATCTTCTTTGCCGATTAAATTCCAAAACTAAATCATCCAGAATTAATTTTAAAAATATTGGAATTAGTAAATGTCCATATGAGAAGTTACCCCTAAAGCTTCCAAATTACAAATCAAAACTTCTAATTTGTCATACAATTTACATAAAGCCTTTACATTCACAGAATTTTTAACAGCTTCTAAATTGAGAATTTTATTCATGAATGGATTAAGTATCAGGTCTTTTCGACCATATATGCCTTTTAGTGATGCTACACAACTCTCATAATTACTTTCTGTTATTTCAAAGCCTGAAACAAACATTCGAAAGCTTGTCCTCATTAAGAATATTTTTAAATAGGCAAATTTTTGTATTTTTGAGAGCATTTGGTTTTTATCTATCGAATTTTCGAAACTATTCCAAAATTCATTCCATTGTTTGAGGTCTCCCCAAAATTTATCAATTATTAATTTTGGTAATTTCAGTGTACTACTTACTCCCTCTAGAACTGTAACTTACATGCAAAATTCCATTACCACTGGACTGGTTTAAATCAGAACTTTGGGGATTCCCCGCTGGCGGTACTGCTTTAACTGCACCTAGAAACTGCTTAATTTGACTACAAGCAATTATACATTTGTCATTGTATTTTTCGCTTATACTATAATCTTCTTCAATTAAGTTAACGTCAATTAACTATTGTATTTCATCATTAAGCGTTCTCAAATTATTTTTATTTTCGGTTAATAATTCAAACAATTGCCGTAATTCTTTAATCGAATTTTCCTCCCCTTCAATTTTTAATTTATTTTCAATCACTTTAATTAACCTTGTAACAGTCGATCTCAATGTGGAACGTTTAAATAATTCATTTAAGCTTTCCTTATCTTACCTTTATTTAATTTAAATTGAACCAAACAGCAATAATAAATACTTACTAATTTAACTACAAAAATCACTAAATAATTAATTTAAGATTTCCCTACCTTTATTTGGAATTCCATTGTCCCTTGAATATGAAATATCTATTGTTAAATTCAAATCGAAACACTTAGATTGAACACCTAAAATCTTCACAAAGCCTTAATTTACGCCAATGCACCATCTAATAATTTTGTGCATTTCCAAATCAGATAATGGTGGATCAGTGAGTTCATTAATTTTAACACTTTTACAATTTTAACATTATTTTTATTCACTATATACAGAGTGTATTCTTAGGCCGTCGCCTTCAACATGAACTTTATTCTCTTTTAACTATGCGAGCAACAGCACCCTCTAGCCTTTTCCTTCAAATTACACAATAGTAGCTGGCCATAAATTATGCCAAGCATTTTTTAACGTATCTGGAGACACATCTTCCCACGATCTTGCGATGCTCCACAGAGCAGATTTTATGCTAAATAATTTCAAAAAGTCTTGAATAGTCTTGCCATTGTTCAAGAAATTTAACGTAGATTTTAAAAATGCTACTTTATATTTCCATTTCAGCACGTGCACTATTTCCATATCCATAGGCTGAATGATAGACGTACAATTTGGAGTGAAGAATAATATGGATACATTATCTTTCACAAAAACTTTAAGTGAAGTATTTGCCGAACAGTTGTCTACAATCAGGACAATTTTTGTGTCATCAGGTAAATGAACCGAATTCAAATGTTCGCCGAGCCTTGTGTATAAAATGATTTTCAAATCAATCATTCGTTCAATGCTTGTGTCATCCATGCTCTTTTATTTGTGCAAGCTATATAACGGAGAAAATTCTTTACTCCTTTAAATGCTCGAGCATCGTATATTTTTTCCAATTACGAAAAGTTTGCATGCTTGTGTATTCCTGCAGAATTTGCGCATGCTAAAATTGTTAGTTTCGCTTTGAATGGATCTTTGAGACCACTTGGAAGCCTTTTCTGTAGAGGTTGCCAAAGGTATTTCGCTGGTATATATAGCCAGAAAAGGCAAGTTTCATCAGAGTTGTAAATTTGTTCTGGAGATAACTTGTTCACTAGTTAATGAGTTCTATGAATTCATCTACAAATAGTTCAGCAGCTTCAGTATAATCTGAAGCTTTTCCACCTGAAATATTTAGTTGCCTTATACCATAGTGATTTTTAAATTCAGATAACCAACCTGTCGAATATGTGCACTTCAGAGTTTTTATGTTCATTTGTTTCATGAAATATTTTGGTTTGAGCCATTATGCACTCTGATCTGTCAATGGCACGTCCTCGCAGCAACGCTGTTTGATCCATTCAATCATCACTTTGTCATGATTGTCACTTTTAGCATAACGAACCCTTTTTCTGTTATTCATTGCAAGTGGGTGTCGGAATCCACAAAAAATTCAAAAAGTTCGTTTTTGTTTTTGCTTATGTCGTATACAGTTGACTTTTCAATGTCATACTCCTCGCATAAATTTGAGACGGATATGTCTTTATCCATTTTTTGCAGCAATTCCACTTTTTGTTTGATGGACACCGAAACATGCTTTCGCTTTGTAGATCCTTTGGCAGCTCCAGAATTGGAAACTCTTTTTGACATAATCGGAAGTTCAAGCTTAATTTTTTATAAAATTGCTCTAACAGTCCGCAAAAAAATAATAAGCCGGATCCAATTAGAAGATTAAGGAACAGCACAGTCTGCAATATTAATGGAAATGCCTTAGAATCAGTAAAGATAATTTTAGCCTACCTTATACCGTCCGTTATACATTAAACACACATGTGTAAAACATAAAAAAAAAAAAAAAAAAGTTTGTAGCTTTGAGGCCCATATTATAGATCATTCCAGATAATGGACATCCAGATTACGGACTTTGTACTGTATATCTAAGGTCTCTTTAATTCAGGTTGTCTTGCTAATTTCGTATATATATATATATATACACACATATATTTTCGTTTTTAAGAAACACGAATTTGAAGAAATTCTGTTAAATTGTTATTCTATATAATAGTGGTCAGAATTAGAAAAGAATTAGAATTTTATCATTAAATATCAAAATTTTTTAATGCTTGATTTAAAATTAATTTAACCTTCTGTTATAGCCAAATGAAGTAAAATGCTAGGAATAAAATCTCTTGAGATGATTAAAAACTTGTAAAATCATATACTGTATACTTCTGTGAACAGTTTTTTTTAGAGTTATTATTTTAGTCCAAAGAAATAACCTATAAATTAGTGACAGAAGTTGATTTCCTTTTTTTTTCTTTTTTTGAAGGGTTGCAAATAATATCATCTTATACTTTGTTGTTGAAGTATTTGAACACGAAGAAGAAAGTTTTTATAAGGTAATTATAATGCAGCATTTTATCTTTATTCTCTTTTGTTTTTATACGTTTTTTTGATTTAATTTATTTTTCTTGCAGCTATATTGTGGATATTCAAATTTTCCAGAAGGTTCAAGTCAAAGAATTTATTTCCTTTTGACTAATAAAGGTGTTTATTTTTTGAAGTCTGGGAACAAGCAGCAGAAGTTCTTCAAATCTCATAGCCTTAGATATAGCAGTATTGATTACATTGTGGTAAGTTTGTATTTATAAAATTTTCTTATTTTGCTATTTTATAAAAGAGAGATAAGTACATGGTCTACATCTTTTTCTAGGTGGATTTAAATTATCAAGGATTTAAAGTGGTGTCAAGAAATAAAGAAAGTTTTCCATTGTATACAGCTGATGAAGAATTAACTAGGTAAGGGTATGATGGGATTAATGTTAATTATTAGTATGATAGTGAATGTAAGAGATGTTTTTTCCAAAATCAAAGAATGTTCAGCAGTGAAACTGCCAGCTTCATTTTTGCATTCTTAAGTCTATATGAGAACTCGCAAATACCGTTAAATGCATGTTTTCATTTCCCCCCCCCCTTGCCACAAACCAGGGTATGTGAATCCAATAGTATTTTTTTTTAATTCAAATACACAGTTAGAAATTTCTTTGTTATACTAAGATTTTTTTTTTAATGACATGTAGTTAAAGTTGATATGTTTGATGGGCATTAAACAGGCCGATCAGCTGCACATTTGGCCTAAAGAACATCTTTCTTTTGGGCATATACTAAACTTCCCTGGCTCTGTTATCCTTTGTCAGTTTCAGAAATTTCCAGATTTCCCAGTGCTCATCAGTCATAGCTTTAAAACTGTAAAAAATAAAGAAATCAGTTTGGAAATGCAGAATGGGAAGTTTAAGGATATGTTGTATCCCACGACGTTTTGAGATCATCTGTTATTTGATAGTTCTATATCAACAGTTTACATATTTTTGAATATATTTAACTCTCGTGATATCATGTGCAGAACATATTATTAGTATGTTTGTAAACTGTTTCAGTGAAATAAGAGGACTGATAGCCTATCAAAATGAAAAACATTTACAGTGTAACGTAAATATTGTTCATTTAACGTAAGGCCACATTCCTTTCAGAGTGTCCGAAAAGAGTAACTTCAAAACATGTCCAACAAGAGCAATTTGTTATTTCTGACATAATTTCTGTCCTGTGAAAGGAACAGCACATCTCCAGAATATTGTTAACGAGCGTTTGTTGTATGCAGATTTCCATTGAAAAGAAATAGTTTTGTCAGGTGCAACTGATCGCTTATAAAATCCAATAAAATGCCATTTAAGCAAATATTGTTCTTTAAAAGAGTCGCATCCTCAGTGGTTCAGATTATTACCGTGATAACATCATCTGTAACAACTGCATGAGTGCCATGTTAGAATTAGCAGATATGCATCTATTATATGGTAATGGAAACAAATTGTAAATGGAAACAGACAGGAAGCACAATAATTGTAACATGAGTAATTTTTATGTTTCATATTCCATATTCTGTTTTTGCCAGTGTTGATTGATATAACGTGAAGCCAATTTATTCACTTTCCCAAAGAGAAATATGGTGTGTTAGTGAACTGTATGGATGCTAGAAATGGAAGAGTATGCATATCCTGAAGATATACAGCAATTTTTTCCACGGGTATGTGAGCAGTGGCATCTGACATTGGTATTTGTCATAATGCAATGTGAAATTTTGTATATGAGATATGCATGCACCTCCTTCATACAGAATTTCATTCTTTAAATTCAGATAACTGTATCTGCTGGCTAGAGTTCGTGATGTGGATGCTTCAGATGATAACTAACAATCTGCATTAATATTATTCAGTGATGAAGCTTCATTTACCAAAAAATATATTTTCAACACTTGCAGCAGAACATATTGGGCCCCTCATAAACACCAGTAGAGATTTGCTGTGAGCATCTGGGCAAGTATCTTTGGTGATTTCATGGTGATCCATACCAGTTTCTAAAATGTCTGATTGATGCAGCATACTGTGCCTTCTTGGAGCAAGCACTTCCTGGTTTGTTAAGGCTATTTTGCTCAGCACAGTGCTGGGCATATGGTTCATACGGGATATGGAAACTTTTGAGCAGTTATTTCAACAATAAGTGCTAACTTACATGCTTCATTCAAAGATTGTGAAATTTAAATTATCGAATGAGTGGGAGAGTGTGTTAGGATATTAATTCATGAAATAAACTTGTGCTTTACCCCTTATAACATACCTTTTCATGTAAAATCATATCCTTTTTGTAATACGTATGTCTCCAATAAAGTCTTACAAAATGTTTCAGCTTCTGATTGGTAATCTGATTTAAATTAAATGCAAATAAAAACTGAAAATTCTTTTTACATAGTGATGACATTGCCTGCTAGTATTGCTCAGGTTTAAAGAATATTCTCCTGTTTCTCATTTGAAAATGAAATATTCTGGGATTTAAAACAGCAGTGAAATTGGTCAGCTATTGTAAACTTCTTTGTGGAAGAGGTCAAGCTAAAGTGGAAGATGTATCTGCTGCTGTATGACCTTTAAATAAATAATGTTGGGGCTGCACTTGTTTAACTGTAAAAGAAATTTCTATGTTTTACTTACATCTCATAAAATAACCAAAAGCTTATTGTGATATTTATAGTGCTGCAATAAGTTTTTAGTTATTTACAAGTTTCTGTGAGTGGAAATTGACCAGCTGTGATTTTGAATGCCATGGCAAAATTTCTAAATATTTAATGTAATAACTTTTTTTAGGAGGGGAAAGGGTCTAATTTTGTTTTTATAATATTTGTTATTTTATTCAGTGCTGAGATATTTTCTTAACTTTGATATTATAAAATATGTCTTTTATTGCAGTTCTCTCTCTTATTTTTTCTCTTTATTTTTTTTATTTTTTTATTATTTATTTATTTTTTTTTTTATTTTAGTAACACATGTTTATACAATTTTAAAAAAAATATATCTCTATATTCTTCAGTTTTACTAAATACAATTTGTAATATCTTTTTTCAGAGAAATACTCTCTAATTTTGAATTAGGAATTAGAAGGTTTATCCCAAAGTTGCCACTTCCTTCTGTTTACACTGATGCTTGTATTCAAAAGATTATCTTATCAAAGTTTGTAGCTTCACAGCTTAATTTAGAAGTATGTGGAACTCTTTTAATGCTTAAGTATATTTTATTTTTTTAGCATGTTTTTAGAAACTTGTTTTATTGTTGTTTTCTTTCTGAAGAAATTTTTTTTTTTTTTCTTTTCATAAGTTTTCCTGTTAGCAATTTGAATCATTTTTAAATGCACAGATGTCATCAAATTCTGTTTGTTGGTGTATCTATTTATGATTGTGTTTATATAATGTAATTTGTCATTTGTATGGCTAAAACTTATAAAACTGTATAATTAAATATATATATATAATTTATTTCTTAAACAGTATTGATTAATTGATTATATTATCTCCTAAGTTAATTAAAGTAGAATTATTTGAAAAGTGTGAATCCATACTGGTAAGTTATATTTTGAAAGATGTTTTGAAGTAATTTGAAAGCAAAATGTTAATAATGTTTTAACGGGGACTGGAGTTAAATCATCATGAAGAATAAAATTTCAATTGTAAAAAAAATTTCAATTGTAAAAGGAAAAATTAAAACATGTAATCATTGTCATTGATCGGAAATTAGTTGACTTTTCAAGGGGAACAAACCAACTCCCATTCAATGAACAATAATTGATAAAAATACGTAAATACGAAAGTGTTTCGTCTTTACTATATTGATGACCTTATTACAATTAATAATTTTGGTAAAATTGAACACTCCGAGATTTATCCGAATTGTCTTACACTTAATAAAACTAATAATTCACAAAATAGCATAGACTTTCTAGATCTTCAAATCATTAACTGCAAAAAAATTTTACTTTTTGACAAAACAAGAAACTTCAATTTCAATACTAACAAATTAATAAATTGGAACTCCAACATATCCAAAAAAGTAATTAACAATACTATAATTAATCAAATACAACGAATTAAAACTATATGCACAGATACAATAGATTTACAATGCGAAATTTTGATCCTTATTAAAATTCTCAAAAATAATCTAATTCCCATTCAATTTATCAACCATTGCCTTAAAAGAGCAGGCATTAAATACTCACTCTAAATCATTTAACTGATAGGGATATGATAATTTATTCCTAAACCTGAGAAGGCGGTATAAGTTGGATGACTGTCAGTTGGAAAATTTGTATATAGTGTAATTATTCAATTGTATATATTGTAAAAAGCTAATTGTCTTCAGACATATACTGTTACTAAAAAAATGGGCCAATTTCATGCCTTTAGTCTGTCTATTAGCTCTTGGACAGTGAAAATTCCTTTTTCCTTTCTTAAATTCTTAATCATTGCGACACGACAATTAGCCAGAAATTAATTAGTTTCCATTCACTGGTATTTTCAAAAAAATCTTAACAGACAGTCTCACTCAGATAAGAACTCCACAAAATACATCCCTCAAGAATTCCAAGTCCCACCCCCACTACCATAAATTACTTCACCCAAGTCTTACCGACTGATATTATTCAAAGCCCCTACTGCCGCTAAGAATTTTCGGACGCCCTACACTTATGAGTCAGACACGAAGAGAACACTTTGCCAACTCCCCCACTAGAAAGAATGTAAGTTACTTAATACATTTTCTGGCCTTTATATCTTCATGTACATTCACTGATCTTATTTATATTATTTTCTATATTATTTTTATATTGTCTTTGATTTGTTTTTACAAAGTTTGCATTATTTATCTTATTTTGTAATCTTCTATGTTTATTTCAACTTTATTTTAACTCTACTTTGAATTCGATTTCATAATGATAATTTCCAATGTTTACTTTATACAAATAATATAGTACTCAAATGCGTAACGATGAAAGTGTCGGGGACGGTTACTCGAAGTTTTACAGGATTTCTCTACAGTAATTGATTTTTACTCCAAATTGAATTGACTAAAATGCTTCATAAGAATAAGTTCTGTGAGTATCAGCATTGGTTCATAATTCCTTCTATTCGCGGAAATATTTGGCCTGACTAGAATTGCCGGTTTGGCTTTAACTTATAACTCGAGTAAAGACGAAACACTTTCGTATATACGTATTTTTATCAATTATTGTTCATTGAATGGGAGTTGGTTTGTTCCCCTTAAAAAGTCAACTAATTTCCGATCAATGACAATGATTACATGTTTTAATTTTTCCTTTTACAATTGAAATTTTTTTTACAATTGAAATTTTATTCTTCATGATGATTTAACTCCAGTCCCCGTTAAAACATTATTAACATTTTGCTTTCAAATTACTTCAAAACATCTCTTTCAAAATATAACTTACCAGTATGGATTCACACTTTTCAAATAATTCTACTTTAATTAAACTTAGGAGCTAATATAATCAATTAATCAATACTGTTTAGGAAATAAATTATTATTAACTAACTTTGCAGCAATTGCGCAAGTAGCAATAACTTGTATTCACACTAAATGGATTTAAGATCATACAACATATATATATATATAATCAGTGCATTTTGTCTTGTATGGCTATACAAAAAGCATATATATATGTATATTGTGTATTCAAATACTATAATAGCATGTTTAAATTCTGAATCTCAAAAAAGCAGAAACATTTGTGTTAATATTTTCCCTGAATTCCAGGCAATGTAAGATATGATACATGTGAAGGTAGGTGTAAATGGACTGTTGCAGATAGGTGGCCAGTGAACTGTGTAATCATTTTAGTTTTTTCAAACACATGATTTGCAATATCAGTTATATGTACTTGGTCAGTATAGATGCTTCTATTGCATTTTTGACTGTGGTTCATTTGGCTTTATGACATTCTTGATGCAGTAATGTAGAAACAGCCAGCATATGCAGTTATTTTTAAAAATAAGAATTAGTGCTTCTGCTGGCTATCAGATTTCCTTGTTACTGTCAGATTTTAAACAGTAATATGCAGATTATTAGTATATACAATTTATAGTATGGCACCTTCTTAACGCTCTTCTTAACTTATTACTGATATAAGTAGATGTAACGTGGTAGTAGGTAAATCAAGTCTTGTAACACTGAACCCACATTTGAATTCTAGAAAAGCTATGATTATATGTAATGGTCAATCTCCCTTCCTTGTAGATGTAAAGTAAGTCACCCTTGTGGAACAACCTTGCAAAGTTCTTAATGATGAGACAGCATAAAAGACTGATGGGTCCAACCATTTTAGATGAATGCTTGAACTAGCAAATATCTGGCCATTAGATTAAAAACAATGTATAGTAGCTGCTTGTGACATTGATATCATGTTTCTAGTTAAAGATATATAAAAGTATTCTTAATGCTAAGCTATATTATTTATGAGCAGCATATATTATTTGTAAATGCATCTGAACTTAAGTAACATTTAATTCAAAATGAAATCATGTTTAAATTTGTGAAATTTGATGAAAGGAGTTAAATGCGAATAAGTTATGCATCAAATGTGTAAGTTCTGATAATAGATGAAAAACTGTAAAACAGAGGAATGCCTACATGAATATTATTTTTGCATTCTTCAATATTGAATTTATAGCAGTGATTAAGAACATAAATTGAAATTGATTGTTATTTTGTTCATTTAGAAGTTTCAAATTTTGTTTATAATTCCAATGTATAATCACAGTTCAAAATTTTTCTTGTAATTGAATTGAGATTATAGCTGGCAGTAAACACTTAAATCTATCTCAGCAATTAATAACAGAAAATACACTATGCTTATACTTTGCAAAAGCAGTTTATATGAGTTTATAATTTAAATTAAAGGACAATTACCGATAAGTCACTTAATACAAAATAAACCTCAAAATTAGTTCTCTCATTTAATATTTCATTCTTCATTTGAAGCAAAAAATTATTTTAGCTTTCAACTCCCAAAAATTCAGAGTAGAAAAAATATCAAAAACTTTTTTGCATATTTCTTGGTTGTAGAAGATTGAAAAGCTGAGCATTATTAATGGATAAAGCCAGTCATATTTCGAACTTTTCACCTGTTATTTTTAACTAATAACTCTGTAATGGATTTAAAATTAGGGAAGAAGGAGAAAACCTTAGTTCAGCATAGATTTTGAAAAAAACCGTATATTTTAAAAGTGATCAGACATAGATTCCTCAGGAGAAAAAAAATTTTGAAAACATTTTGCTTCTGAAAAAGAGGATTCTATCTCTTATTGACGTTGAAACTGATAGAATTTTATTCAAAATTATGACAAAATTTACATTGCCATGTTTTTCTCATTCAGTTAATATTTTTTTGTTATTAGCCAACATTTTTTAGGTAAAAATAGTTTAGAATCTATGATTTTATTCTTTGTTTATATTATTTTATTCAAAATAAAAAAAAAGTTTGTAAGTTTAAAAGTGCTGATCTGGAAGTAAATAAATAGATGAAAACAATAGTTATTCATTTATCTATCGGAGAAAAACTTCAGGAATTTCCTCCCTTCCACAAAAGCAGTTATGATATAGCTTACTTTAATAAAGTATGGAAGTGTGGAGGAAGAAATTGAAACTGATAGATTTAGAATCTAGTCATCTGATTATATTGAATTAAAACTAAGAATTGACTGCCACCCAAATAAGAAAAGTGAATTAATTGAATATATTACTGTAATCTAGTAGCAGACATTATATGACACATACATTAAAGAGAGGCTCATGCATATGCTTCTTATATAAATGTTGCTTTTGATTTATTTATGTAAAAATCTTTGGTTATTGCATCATAATGAACTGTTAAAAATAGAATGCACCAAGTGAATGCTTAAAATAGGGTACTTTCACATTATTCACCCAGTGTTTCCCTCAAAGTCAGCAATTGTTGATGACTAATTTTTCAGCAACCTGACATGTGGAAAACAGTAGCCATTTTTAAAAAAAAAGGATGGCAAGCTGAAAGTTGCATAAAACAACTTATGAATTAACGAAATTAAAAACGCAAAAAATATCGATAGTTAAACAGTGAGAATTACACAAAACAAATATCCATAACAAAACACTGAAAATGTCATAAAACAGTAACAGATTAACTAAATTAAAAATCTGACAAGCATCCATAATAAAACACTTGACTTTCTGTTTTCTCAGTCTGTGTATGCAGACTTCTATTTTAACATAGGAAAAAAAATCAGAGAATTGGAGAATTCTTGGCATCGCAGAGCAACTTGGCACTACTTGCACCTTGATCTGTTTTAACTTAAAAAAAATTCAGAGAATAGAATTTATTAAGAGAAATCTATTATCACAGATGGGAACTACAAATATAATTTTCCATTTCCAAAGCAGGGTGCATTATGAACTGGCATAATGTATTGGCATAGTACATTATGTGGTTTGTAGCATCTTTAATGGTTTGTCAGATAAAATATATGTTCAATATATCCAGGGTTGCTTGTTCTAAGTGACACAGCACTTTGCTTGGTGATTCTTCTCAGTGCTGGGCAGAAGTGTCAAGAATAATTTTAATATTTGTAAAGTTTGAGTATTATGAATAAATTTTTTATCAGATGCAACAGAGAAATCATATATCTTATTTAAATCATTAATATGTACCTCATTAAAATCTTATCAGTGCCTTTTTTACTGAATTTACATTTTTATTTCATGTATTCTCCTGTGGATGGAAGTTAATTTTAAAGTGCAAGTATGCTATATTGGAGTAATTGATTTTCATTCGCTTTGTTTTATTTTATGGAATTTTTTTATTTCAAAGTGGTTTTGAATTAATATGCATGTGGTGACTTGCCTACTACAACTCAACGCTGCCAGTCTGGTAAGCCATAGCAACAAAAGACAAAATAATATTTTATTCTATTCTATTGTTATGATTTATTAACGATCCATCTCAATTATTGTACTACCATAATAAAAATTGTATTACTACAATTGGTGACCTGGACGTGATCAACACGAGCTTATAACTCGTGCTTCCTGGGAATTCCTCATTCAAGGGGAACAATTACAAGCCCCTATCCCCAGCATGAAGGAGGTTCAATGGGTTACCCAGTCCTGTTGGACAGGGAAAGCACACGCTGATTCCTTCAATGTAACGCGCGTGCGGCCCTGAACATCTAAGGGCATCTAAGGACATCTCAATTATTATACTACCGTAATAAAAATTGTATTACTACAATGCAAGTGAAAAGTTTTGTATTTCATAATTTCATTTCTCCTTTATAGAAATCAGATGTAAACCTGTGCCATTATGTGTTAGCTAGGTGGGAAGATTACACATCATCTTCTATAACTCCAACTGGACCTATTTACTATGATTACCTAATGTATAGACACAAATTTGCAAAAGATAATACGGCCACATCATGGACACCTGGATATTTTCTCTTGAAGTAATTTTGTTTTAATTATTTTTTCCAGTTTCCTGTTTATTACTTTTTCAGTTTCATTTGGACATTTTTTGAATAATATTTTGTTTCTTATCATCTTATTATCAGTATGACAATTTAAAAATGTTCAAAAATTTGCAAATAATCCTGACATGAGATAATTTATTTTTTTCCTGTAATATATCATTAAAATTGTTATCTTCTAATTAAAACCCATTGTTTAAGCAAATTGAATGTAAAAGATATTCACTTGCAAAAGATTGAAAAATATTGGGTAAAGTATTCAAACTGTTGTTATTAATGCTTTTGCAACAGAATTTTTGTTAGTGCTTGTATAAAATAAGTTCCTGTTTTCTCAGAGCTGGTGTATTATATTGCATGGATGACGAGAAGAGCAAACCTAACTTTGATATCCCTATGTGGTAAGCATATTTATTTATATGATACGTCAGTTTTTAATCTTTTATGAAATTGTTAAACATACTGGAATCTCTCATTTAATATATTTTTGAACTACAGTAGAAGTCCGATAATCCGGCACATTCGGGACCGGCTCGGTGCCGGACTACCGAAAATTCCGGTCTATCGGGCGGTAATTATAAGAACAATTAGGTTAATAATTAAACTAAAAATACAGTATGCAAATACATACAACAAAGTTTATTTTACATTTCATATAATGTATGTACACGTACTGTAAAACATATTTCACTTAGATTTAAAAAAAAAGTCACGAATGTCTTTTTTTTCTTGACTTTTGGCGTTTAGTGTAAAATTTATTTCTAATGATATGGAAATCAATAATTTCTGAAGCACTGTAGCTAGTACTAGCCTCGGCAAAAGAGATAAACTTATTTAGTGATTCTGCAGCTTCTGCCCAGCTGATTTTTTTCCTTTTCTTCCGTTTCGGCATCTGAGTCATTTTCTTCAAGATTTTGAGTAGGCTGAGGGTTTACTACAATGTTGATAATGTCCTCATCGGTTAGTTCTTGTTCAACAGGCTCATTCTCGTCGATTAAAAGCCACTCCTCTACCTCATCTTTCAGGCAGGTTTTTCAAGGGATTGTCAGTACTTCTAACGTCTAAACACATCCAAAACTTTGGTCAGAGCGTCTTGATGGTTTTCTTCCTCATCAGTCTGTAGAGTTAGGTCAGATGCAGGGTTTGCAGCTGGCCAAAGTTTTCTCCAGCATTTTTGGAGTGTTGTATTTTTTACCTGGTTCCAAGACTGTGCAATAGCATAGATGGCATCTTTTACTGTAAACTTTTTTTGAAAATCAGTCACGTCACAGTCGGCATGTAACAGGCTTTGAATAAAAGACCTTCTATAAAAGCATTTAAAATTTTGAATAACCCTTTGGTCCATGGGTTGAATCAAAGATGTTACGTTAGGTGGGAGCAGAGTAGCAACAATATTTTCAGAAACTAACTCATCTACTGGCGGATGGGCTTTGCAATTGTCCAAAAGAAGGATGGCTTTAGTATCTTCTGGTAGACCAAGGCTTTTGAAGGATTCCTTGACCTCAGGCACAAAGTGGTGAAAAAACCAGTCTTTAAAGAGGGCGGTAGTTATCCACGCATTTGATTGAGCATCGTATTGGACAGGCAAGTGTGTAACATTCTTAAAAGCCCTGGGTTTTGCAGATTTACCTATCACAAAAGGGGTCACTTGGTGGTTTCCAGACGCATTAGCACATAGCAAAATGGTTAATCTGTCTTTGTTTTTTTTTTAAAACCCTTGGCTGCTTTTTCTCCTCCCCCAGCTAGTGTAGATGTTGGTAAACATCGCCACAATAGCCCTGTTTCATCAGTATTGTAAATCTGTTCAGGTGTTAAATCATTATCAGCCATGATTTTCTCAAACTCATCTTTGTATTTTTCTGCAGAGTTTTGGTTTGCTGAAAGAGTTTCTCCAGTTACATCAAGTCTTCGAATTCCATGCCGAAACTTAAAGTTTCTGAGCCAACCATCAGAATAATTACATTCACTTTCAGCAACTCCTAAATCTTGGCCGAATTTCTTTGCCTTTTCAACAATCATTGGCCCTGTTACCAGCTTTTCCTTCAGAACGTACTGCACTAAACCATTTGAACAATACACTATCTAGCTGTTCCAGTTTTTTGGTTTTTTTAATGTTTGTCTAGAAGCCAATTTTTCAGTTGTTATCGTTGAGAAGCAAACTTCATTAGTTCATCTTTTTTGTTTTTAATGTCATAAATATTGATGAGCCATATTAAACTCATTCATTAAAACGTTTCTATTTTCGCCTTTTTTCTAGCTGTTTGATGATTTCTAGTTCTGATTGAGAGTCAGTGTTACGTGTTTTCGTTTCTCTCCTTTTGAACTCAAAGGCTTAGGTTTTGAAAACATGGTCACTGTACAGTTAGAACGAAAATCACTTTTTTATAAACAGTTTCAAAAGTTAGTTACGTTTACTGCGATGTGAAAGGACACAAAACAACAACGCACAAAAAAATGGCGAAGACGCTTCGTGATTGATTAACGGAGCTGCACTGCACCTGAATTTGTTGTGACAGCTGAGACTAGCCGGCCGCCAATTGTTTCCGAACAATAACGAGCGCTTCCGGATGATCTCGAAGTACCCCGAAAACTTCCAAATAGCTCTCGAGCGGTTTTATTTGCTTTAAAGACACACTTTTGGAGAAAACCAAAATTTTTACAATTTTCCAGAGCGATGCCGGACTATCGGGCATTCCGGACTGTTGGATGTCGGACTAATGGACTTCTACTGTACCATGATTTATTATTTGCAACTTGTTTTTTACTTAACATGGCTCAAATAGTATTTTTGTAGAGTTATGATTGTAAAGAATAGTACATTTTTGATTCAAGGCTTAATCTCAAGAATCTTTTTCTATGCCTTTTTAAAGTAAGTTGCAGAGAACACAAAGATTTTCTAAGCTCAGACGTCCTTCTATAGATCTTTGTATACTGCCTTTGTAGACAATCAGTGAAATGGTCATTTAGCCTCTTTTTATTAAGATGAGTATTCAGTGAAGGTGGGAAGGAGTAACTTCTCTCCTTCACTGAGTATTCCAGTATAACCATGCAGTGTATTACTCCTTCACTGAGTAGTACACTGCATGGCTTTAAGGAAAAGTATGAAGAGAAAAAACAAAAATTGCTAAAGATAATTTTTTGTCAAAAAGGACAAAATCTTGTGTTAAAAAAATATATTTAAATTATTTATTTATTTATTTTTTATTTTGTATGAGAAATGAAAGAGAAATATAAAAATAGATATTAAGAACTGGTTAGGTGTATTACTGTATTTTATTTTGTGCATATTTGTATATTTGTTAAGGTGTTTTTGCTTAACATGCACTTCAAGGATTAATAAACTGAGAGATTCCTTTATTTCATACAAAGTGAAATGGAACATAAATATGTGCACATAAAATAAGTTTTATTTAGTTATTTATTTTTATTTTATATGCATTTAACATATATGTACAAATAGATAATTTTGAAATTTGTGGTCTCTTAATTTCTTTTTTAGTTGTTTTATATATTTTTTGTTTTGTTTTTATAAGGTTTTTTAATTTCTAATTTCGGTATTATAATTTTTCACAACAAAGTGAAGGAAGTAATTAAGGAGTTGTTTTTTTCTACTAGATGATTTAATAAGAGATAGTTTAAATAATCTGTATAAAGGAATGTTTATAAATGATTAAATACTGATAACTGTGGTTTTAACAATCTGTTGCAGATTTTGATAGTTTAAAAAAGTTGTTGAAATGAATTTAAAGGTAGCAGCTATTTTACTTTTTGAAGAATTTATATTGAATAAAATTAAATATGCAAAATATTAATATATCAGTTATCTGGTTTGAATTGTAGTGTCACCTAATTTTGAACTTCTGTGCTTTTATACAACACTTTAATGACTCTGTAATATTCTGTATAATAAGAGAAATAAGTGTATTGAAAAATAAAACTATTTCCTTTTATTTCTTTAAGTACTCCTCATTGCCAAGGATGTCGAAGAATTCATCTTTTGGATAGGCCGTATGCTTTTGAAATTATTCGCTCAAATTCAGCTTCTCTGCAATTAGCTGCAGCTGACACAGTTGAAGCTTCAAAATGGTTGCAGTGTTTTTTAGAAACTGTTTCGTTGGCAGGTCATGTAAGTATTTGCATGAAGTTTAAGTAATTAATTGAACTTTTGTGATATATTTGAATATAATAATTAATTGAGATTTTGTTATTTCATTAATAAATACTGAAATTTTATTGCATTAGAAATTTTAGGTCAGTTTATAAATTTTGTTTGTATGACTGATAATCTGAATCATAAAAAAAAAGGGATTTGCATTAAGAATTTTAAGTCATATAAATTTTGTTTATATGTGATAAATCTGAATAATTTAAAAAAATTTTAGTGATCTTATCTGAACATTTAGATAAGTTAACATAATGCTTTACTGGACTGTAATTGTCCTTTATTGATCTTACAATTATAAATGTAGAAACTCAAGGCTTCTGAGGAGCCATTTTACAGTCGCGGCTAATAAACATTATGGGCTTACATTGGGGAGATGCAGCATACCAACACGCCAGCTAGCTTTGCTATGCTTTAACCTTTTGATGGTCATCAATGAGCTCAGCTGAGCAATGAGTCGGCCACTAAGAATAAAAATTTAAGGCATTAATAAAATAAAATATTTATTATTTTCGAATTACTTTTATTTATTTGTTTGCAGAGTTTAGTATTTTTATAATGTTATGCTATTTTATTTTTGCAATTTAAAAATAGAAAATTGATATTTTAACAAACTAAATGTAGGATGATAAAATTATGTAAAGCAGTGGCACAGTAATATAAAACCATGGAATATTGTTTGTTTGCATATCTTTCTAAATTAAAATATATGTTAACTTTCTTATTTGTATATCTTTTCTGAACAGAGCCTATAAAGACATATTAATCATGCTTTACAGTATTTTCTCTTTTAATGCAGAATGTAGTTTTCAAAGGCATTGTGATGAATACTTGGTGACAAAGTATTCTTTCGGAAGAAATGCTATTTGAATAAATAAAATCAAATTAAAAAAATGAATAAACATGTTTAAAGTACACAATGTGAATGATTAAATAGAAATTTTTAAAATAACTGTTTGAAGAACTGTAAAACCATTCAACTCAAATAATGAAAGTGAAATTCTAAAATGATATAAATGTCTATGAATAGCAATCGTGATTAAAATATGTAGTATTAAGTGAATGTATGCAAGAAAAAAAGAAGAAAGAGGGGGAGGGGAAAGATACTTTTTCCACATAGAGAATGAAATAGAAATTAAAATAGGTTGTTGTAAACTGAGAAGGTTGCTAAGTGAATTATTCTTAGCACAAGGTAAAAAAAGTGTGCAAAGCTAAATTTCTGAATTACTGATTAAATTTCACTCTAAATTTTTTAAAATTGAGTTTTTAGGCATAATTACATGTTGTTCTGGATTCCAGAAGCCTGATTTTGTGTTGAAATAAGTATGTAAGAATATCACAATATATAATTCTAATGTGTATCTCAAGTCACGCTTTTGAGACTTATAAAACACAGGTTGAATTTCATGAAGTGCCCTTGTGGAACGGGAGATAGACTCGTCCCAATTTTTTTTTTTTAGACGTGTTTAAGTATTTGAGTGTACATTAAGTATTAATTTTATTTTCATCATGTTTAAAAGTACTTTAATAAATCAGAGCTTTCCTAGGCTACTCAGGATTTTCTCAGTATTAAAGTGTGAAAGAATTACAAAATGGAATTAGCCAAATAATACAAGATTTAGGTTTTCTAATTAAATATTAATATATTTTGCATCAAAATCATATTATACATAGTTGAATAATCTAAATGAGACATCATAAAGCAAATTTAGCTAATTTAGAGTTCTTTTGAAATGGTGCTGCTGTGCTGCATGAAAATCTTTTGGAAACTTCTGGCTTTTCATATTTCAAGGTAGGGAACTATGGTTATGTAAAACCTTTCTTTTGCCAGGATAATAAGTGAAAATTTCATTTTAAATGTAGTATAGTCTGAGAAGGAAAATGTATAATTATAACAAAACAATTAAAAAAAAACATAAATGCAATTTTTCAATTTCGGAATGCTACAGAGACAGATTTGAGGAACTCATGTGGTGTTGAAGATAGTTTATATATAATTTTATGGGTTGTGAGTATAGTTCTAGATATTTTTAAAGATTTAGAATACAGTTTTTTAAAGGGTATAACTTATACAGTTTTTCTTCTTTTGGTAAGCAGCATCATTTGGCTTTCTTTGCAATGATATAACACTTCCTAATTGTTCATTTGACTGCATGTACATCGTTTGGTTGTTAAAATTTCCGAACCACTGATTTTGTTTCCCCCGTTCCTACTTCTTTCTAAAATATGAATATTGATGTTATGTAATTATTTTAATCTTGCAAATTTATGCACCATCTGTACTGCTACTTTGTAGAATTTAGCTAATGCTAGCACCTTACTGCTGCAATAAATGGAAAGTATTGTCTTCATGTATGGTACTATTTAATTTAAACTAGCTTTGAACATGCAGTCTCACAGTTTGTCAGTATTTATACTGATTTCCATAAAATGCTATCTTTCGTAATATACAACCTCATTTGACGAAAATTAGTGCATTCTCGAGTGTTTAGCATAGTTTTGGAAAAACTGGATGGTTTTAGTTTCATCACTAGATATTGCCAAAATCTCATAATTATATGAGAAATAACTGTGTGAAAGTATGTATTATCTTTAACAGAACTCCTGTAGAGAGATGGAGTAAGTGGTCCATAAAGATTTTAAAGTGTAGGCAAATGCTAGTTATGATTTGCATGGGTGAAAGCAGATTGCAATTTTAAACATGCACATTCCATTTGAGAATACCAAAGAATTTTTTATAAAAAATTTCATAATGGTCGAAGATAAATTTGGTACGTAAGTACCAGGTGTATTTATGCAGTGAAGTAAATACCAGTTTAGTATGTAGCATAATATAAACAAAACAGCATAAGGTAAAATTTACAGACTTGTTTGTGTAGGAAATATTTAATCAATTAAACTTGTATTGTTTAGAAATTTAAATTCAGAGATTAAAAAATTTACCAGCACCAGATAAATTTACCCACAGTCATCATAAATTGCTTACACTAGGATATATTCACTAATTGAGGTTTTATTGTATTTATAAAAAGTAAATATTTAATATTTTTTGTTTGAATTCATATTTATGTGATATTTATTTCTGAGTGAATAAATAAGCTCTTGGCAAAGTATTCGATAAAATGCTACAGGAATTCACATATTATGAATAAATTTGTCGGACTATAGTTTCGAAATTTTATTTCTTTTATTACATTCTTTGAAAAGCTGCTTCATTGTTATTAAAGAGAAACAAAGTATGAGGATCTGCTTCTATTTAAGGTTGCATTTAATTATTGGATAATGATAAAATGATAGTCTACATTTGATTACTTAAATCATTAATTATATAAAATATTTATAAATTAAATTTTTCCTCCTTCCAGTACATTGATTCAGAAAAAAACGTGCAAAAACCTTGCTATGTTCTTCTGTCTAATGATAGCATTATTGTTGCAATGGATGAACCTCGCAAAAGTAGCTTGAAACCATTTGGAAAAGCAAAACTGTGTGATCTTGTAACAGTGTTCATTGATCCTCTGGCATCTACTTTTATTATGTTGGTATGTATTTTATTTTGGGGGAAGTTTATTATTTAAGATTGCATAGTCATAAGCTACAATATCTCGTGTTTATAGCTGTTATGTTTGTCAGTGTAATTCTGCATAACTGAGTGAAATTCTGCATAACTGAGTACTTTGAATTTAATTATATACATGGCATATATGCTACTTAAAAATTATTTATCTACTCTTTATTAAAGATAATAAGTAGTTTGAGAAGGCATTGTTTTCTATTAACTTATCATACTTAATCTTATCCTATTATCAGAAACTATTAAATTTACAAGCATGAAATTTTTATTGTATTTCAATGAAAATGTTTTAAATACTTTAGTGTTCTTTGTATTTTACTCATACAGTCAAAAGTCCTGGATACCCATAATCCGAAATGATCTATAATCCGGACCTCTAAGCTACAAACATTCTGCACGCATGCGCGTTTAATGTATAACGGATGGTATAAGCTAAGCTAAAATTATCTATTTCAGTTAATGTTGCAGATTGCGTTGTTCCTTAGTCTTCGAATTGGATCCGGCTTATTATTTTTTGCAGACTGTTAGGGCAATTTTATAAAAGTAAGCTTGAACTTTCGATTATGTCAAATAGAATTTCCGATGCTGGAGCTGCCAAAAGGATCTACAAAGCGAAAGCATGTTTCGATGTCCATCAAACAAAAAGTGGAATTGCTGCAAAAAATGGATAAAGGCATATCCTTTGTTTCTCTAACCATTCCGAAATCTTTTATCAATTTCACGTTGCTCTGGGGGGGGGAACGTCGCGGCGTGCAATGAACTGGAAGTTGATCTGTCAGCACTATCCTTATCTTCAGGGCAGATGTTTTTATTTTATTTGGCTTATAATTCCTTACTAAATGTAGTATTTCATCTCGATGTACTCCGTCTTTGATATGATTTAAATCAAATTCCGTCATTATAAATATCACGAATACACATTCAAATAGTTTTCTGGTTGCAATTTTCTAATTTCGACTATGCGTAATGTATGCTTTACGCATGCGCGCATTGAAAGAAATGTTTAATAAAGTAAACAAATAAATATTAAGCTTTTTTTTTTGTAAATTTTGATACCCTTTAGATCATAATTGTTCTTTATTTCATAAATTATGGTTTCATATTTTTAATTTTATAATTTCTGCATGCCATCTTACCGGATTTAAACTGATGATCTATAATCCAGAAAAATCGATAAACCAGAATCGCCGAAGTCCCAACGAGTCCGGATTAAAGACTTTTGACTGTAGTTGAAAAACATTATAAACAGAAAATTTGTATTTAATTATATTTTGAATTAAAGGAAACAAAATTACCTAGCATGTTAGCATGATTATACTATATGTCATAATTTTTAAATGCAACAAATATATTAATAAAGAGAAATATGGAGCTTTGTAAATCTTCTTACGAATTTGAAACTTATGTAAAATATTGTGCTTTACTGATTTTAGAATTTTTCTCTTGCTGTAGGAATTTGAAATTGCTGAAGCTAGCAAAAGTAGTGGAGAGTGGATAATTTATTTTGAAACTATTGCTGAAAAAGAAAAGTTCTTAGATATAATCAATCAGAAGTGGTCAGAAATGTTTCAGGTAATATAATTTAAATATCACAATGTGTGATTAACTGAAACAGTGCAACAGACAAATATTGAAATGATGTTTTTTTTTCCTTGAAATTCATTCCCGAAAGCTAAACATATTTATATATATGTTGCAGTATAAAGAAAAGTATATTTAAATAGTAATATAATAAGTAATATAATTTGCATTTCACTATGTCTTGACAATGTGCGGCAGTCAGTTGAAAAGTGCATACAGACAAAATATTTAGATAAGTTTTTTTCTCTTGAAATGCATGACTGAGAGTCAAACCGATTTTGTATATTGCAGCCTAATATTAAAATAGGGTACTGAATATATTATCCTGTTGGCTATGAAACTTTCACAAAGCATTATGATTTTGCACTAATTATGGATAAACATGATGTCACGACACACTCATAAACATCTGCGTTTTAATTTGATGCTGATTGATTCTTGATAATCCACCTTTTGTTTTTATGAAAAAGAATATAAATTATATGCTAATGCTGTATTTTTTTCTTCCATTTTGAAAAAATGAGTTCAAGATTTGTAGAATCATTTTTGTGATTGCACTTCGATTCATTTACCTCTGCTCAAGAGAATTAACCTTTGTTGAATATGAAAAAAAAAAAAAAAAAAAAAAAAGAGCTGCATATGGCCCACAAAAAGATAATGGATTGGAACAATCATATGCAAAAAGTTTTATACTGCTAGCATTTTAACTGAGATTCTGGTAAAATTAAAATCGATGGGACTATAGTAGCAATTCACAAAAGCTTTTTTATGAAGCTCAAAAATAAAGTCGGTTGAGTACTTTTCAACAGTGGCTATTTGTTAGATTATGCAGTGGGGCTTAATGAATGTTTTATTAAAAAATTGTAGATAGAAGTGTGGCTCATAATTCCTGAGACACAACTGCTGCATCTTTGATGACATCTTCACCAACTTTCAATGTTTTATAATAGCCAGTTTTCGGTTTGATAGGTAAATACCTAAAATAGTTTAACATTTATCCCTTAATTTTTACTATAAAAGGAATTATGTCTATTTAGTTTTACTTAGAATCTGACAGTGCCATCTTTATGCAAAATTACGCTTCCTTAAAACAAAATTTGAGAATCAAAATAAAGCCAATGTCAAGAACAGGTTATTTATTTGGTTCATAAAGTATGGTATAAATATTTTTATGTATATTATACAAAGAATAAAAATTTTTAGTATAATAACTAAAAAGAAAGGTAAAAAGCATAACAGAAAGTATATTTTGGACTTTGGTATTTGATGCCAATTATAACACTTTTAATTTTTCTCGGCAGAATTCTTAGTTTACATGTTGATTATCTGTTCCTTCATTGACATCATTCATGTATTGATAAGGACACTGTTGATCACAAATGGTTTTTTTATTATAACTTAAAAAAACATTTAGTTATAAACCTTCTAAAGATGCAAATACATAATTTATGGTAGCATTTGGATATGTATCAGTTAAACTGTTTTATATAAATATTTCAAAATGTCAAAGAAATATGCAATTTTATGAATTCTGTAAAATTTAAAAAAAAAAAAAAAAAAAAGAAAGAAAAAAAAAAAAAAATATTAGAACTTTTTTTTTAGCAAGAATTTTGACACTGTAACCAAAATAAATTCAATAAACTAAATTATATTTCATTAAAACCCTTTTAAATGTTAGATTTTTTTTTGATTAACTAAGTTTCAGTTAAAATGAATGCACATTGTAATTTAGAGGTAAACCCAAAATGCCGTAATGTTAATGTTAAACCCTTTTTATTGAACACACTAAGTTTTATATATCTGGTCATCTTATATGCAAGAGCTTTGGTACTGCAATTATTGAAGTTAATGCATTCAGAAATTTATCTTATTGAGTTCATTTCCTAAAGGGAAATATGAATTTATGATAAACTATTTGAAATCATGCCCTTTTTGGTTAGCTATATAATTTGTTATTTTTAGCTATAGTTAGTTGTAGTAGTTATATAATTTTTTTTAACACTGTGTGTAAAATGCATTTATGTATACGTATATCACATAAGAGAAGACTGCAATAAGCAGTGTTACCATGTATACAAGTTTGTATTGCTTACATATTGTAAAACAGTAGCTGCTGTCACTTAAAACTTGCTGAATTGAGGCTCCCCTGTAATAACATTTAGATTTTCGGTATTGTAGTTTTCACAGATTCATTGATTTGTAGTTCTTAATTCAGATTTATTGTGTTTCTACCACTGAATCCTAAATGGAGTAGGGATAAATTAAAATGAATTTATAAAATTCATTTAACTTGACATCTTGAATCAGGCCGCAACTGCTCAACTTGTCTACACATTAAATTTTGATTGAACAAGTCGAGCCATTTATGAATATTTTCAGAATAAGCACGATTGAGTGTGACATGTTGCACATACAGCTGAGTATTTCCTTAACATTTGTATATTTCAAATTATATAATAATTTCAAATTCAGAATTCAGCACTGATAATTCAGATTCATGTCATGTTTTTTATTATCACTGATAACATTATTACTAAACCAACTAGTGTTATAATTTACTAAATAAAATAATTAAAAATTTCAGATTTTCCTAGTGTTCCTTTTTATTATTTTTCATAAACCATGAAATGGTTACCACATGTGTTCAAATTTTGTGTTTAGAGTGTGAAATTCTGATGGAGTAAAAGAGGTGAAATTAATTTTAATCTGTGTGTTTTTTTATCCTTTTTCTCTATAGCCTGTGGGTTGGGTTATTTTCCATCTGCTGCATCAATGTATTTGTAACAGTTGGGCATGTAAAGCATTTATATCTGAATATGAATATTCAGCCGCTCTGTATATTTGTGACACTTTAAGAGTCTATCCTTGTGATCATGGTATGATTTTTCAGTGTTGAATGTTCAGTTCCAAATTTCCAGCACTATTAAATAATTCTTGATCAGTTAAAAAATATATTTTTAAGTATTTGCCTGTGATGCTGAGATGATTTTTCATGCTCATAAATTTTTGAGCTAAGAAACATTGCTTAAATCCTTCGCAAAACAACTTATTTGATACATTTTTTTAAATGTGTAAATATCTGTATAACGAGTAAAAAGTTTTAACCATTTTTCTCAGTATAAATTGTAGTTGAATTTTTCTTGCATTCTATCTACTTGAATAGTTGCCCATTGAGGTAGATTATGTAGGTTGACTTACTATAGGTTTAATTTAAGTATGTTTCTTTTATGTAATAATAAATATGCTTATTTTGTATTATATGAATAAACATGTTTATATAAATGCACTCTTAAAAAAAAAAAAAAAAAAAAAAATATCGAAGCACCAAGAAGGATTTTTGCAATTGTGATGAAATTTGGTATGGAAAAACATCTTGATCGAACATGCAAATGATCAAAGTTTCAAGGCAAATGAACAGTAATTGCAATCATAGCATGCATTTCTAGTGCACGATTCACAGAGTATAAATCCAGTAACAGAGGCGGAAAATTTATCCTTTTTTGTTGCTGCCATCGTAATTCCGTAAGGAAGCAACTAAAGATGCCATTATGATGATATTGAAGACCTTACAGACTACTAAATCACTTCGAACATGGTTGCTTTGTAGGGTCGTGTGAGGCTGGGTGGTCGTACTGAAAGCCGCCACCTACAGCGTACAGACACTGCTGTGCAAAGATGTTGGCAGCATTGCTACAAGGAAATTGCCGATGAAATGAAGACTCTGGAAGGACAAGGAGCACAAATGCGAGGCAAGATAGGATGACTTTAAACCAGGTTGTCCAGGCCCAAACCGCCGCAACGGTATCGTTGTCAACAATTCAACGCACTACAGCCATGTCTATACCTCCCGTGGTACTGTTCACCATCTCACAGCACTTGTCTGAGGCGGGGTTACACTCACAGAGGCCTTTAAAACGTTTGCCTTTGACCCCACAACATCGGCGGAGTCGTGTGAAGTGGTGTCATAGCCGACCATCATGGCTGCCATCAGATTGGCATCGTATAGTGTTCAGCGATGAATCCCACTTCACTCTTGAAACAGATGACCACCATGTTCGCTTCTGGAGAGGACAGAACCAGCGGTCCCAATCAGCCTTTGTTTTACAAAGGCATACAGCTATAACCCCTGGTGTGATGGTGCGGGCCACTATTTCTTATGACAGCAGACTATCTTTAGTCATCCTCCATACATCTTTTTAACAGCTCAACGATATGTTGATACCATCCTGTTGCTGGTTACATTACCTTTCATGGCACGTCATCCTGGGGTATTTTCCAACAAATAATATCAATATACCCGGACTGTCTCCGTGCGGTTGATACTCTTCCTTGGCCAGCAAGGTCTCCAGACCTTTCACCAATCGAGTGTGTCTGGGGCATGGTAGGCCGCCAGATGCGGGGACCACAAAATATCGCAGGTCTGGAGTGACGACTGATGAATGACAGGCAGAATGTGCCGCAGGATGACATTAGGAACCTCTACCACTCCTTGCCTCGACAAATTCAAGCATGCATTGCTGCCAGGGGCGGTTCGACCAACTACTAATTTGAACACTCATTGGGTGATTGTGAGCCATGAACAGGTACTATGACCTTGATTTTTTTAATCATTTTATTATCTGTGTAAGAGCTATGCACATATTCAGTATCATTAAAAACAACCACTTCCTTCGTGGTGCTTTGATTTTTTTGAAAAAGAGTGTATGTTTCTTTTGAAATATATTTTTGTTTTGTTTTATGCTTTTATGTGGTTCCTTCTATTATTTATTGATTTATTTGAAAATATTAAATATTCTGATTTACAGAAAATCTCATCAGAAGTATTTGCTACATTTATGTTTTACTGCAAATTCATGAATTCTTTTTTGAGAAAATACCAATCAATTTCTTTCAGATGAGCCTTACTGTAGAAAATATCAAAGACTTATATTTATTGAAACAGTGTCGGCAAGTGTCCGAAGAACTGAGAACTGAAAAATTAGCTTTACATG